ACGGTTTTTTGTCATTAAGTTCAATTCCCGCTAAAACTTGACGCAATCTTTTTTCTTCCGAATCCGTAAAGCGGTTAATTAATGCGTTTTTCAAATAATTATATTTATCTAACTCAAGCGGTCGTTCAATAATTTCAGCTACCGCGACCAATGCTTGTTCATCAAGATGACGAATTACGGTACTGAATTTTATTTCATCTGATCGAATACGGTATATTAAAAATTCACTCTCTAACTGAGCAAACCATAACTTTGGTTGTTTGTGCCAAAAGATCGGTAATTTCAATAATCTGAACTCATTCGCATGAATCTCAATTGACTCACCTGAATTAGATGGACCGCTATTCAGCATCGTTGCTCTTTCTAATATATTTCGTGTTCCTGATGCTTCTTTTTGAGTCGTTGATGTTTTCGGCGATGAAGGAGGTGAATGGTTAATAGGCATCTTCTATTATATCGTTCACAATTTAAATTTCCCGCGGCTCTTCAAGTAAATTAAATTTTTCCGATCACGTCGGGGTCACCAATTATGTAGCGGTTAAAATGAGAACTACTACATATAATAAGAAAAAGATCAAATTGTGTTTTAAGGTTTCTATATTTTAACTTGATGTTAATGTTATAATGTACAGATGAAGAATGAGTGATAAACAAATAAAAATGTTTAACAAAATACTAATGTTGTTATAGTAATTAAATAAACTATTTCTATGGCAATTAATCAATAATTTGTTTGTTGCTAATTGCAACTCAATGTCGGTAAATAAGATTCTATCTTTGCCTTAAAATTAGTTGCGACGATTGCCACAACTTCACGTATTCTAGTTACTTTCTCAAAATAGACCATTATAATAATAAATATCGATTTGTTTCATTAAATTAGCATTCTTCTGAGCAAAATACAACCTTTATTTAAATTTCTATTAAACAAATATCACAATTATAAACAATTATCTTAATAACTACCAGACACACTAAGTATTTCATAAAACTAAGTATGCCATCTAGTAAAATATTATTATTACGTTCCACAATAAACATTCATTCATAACATTAAAATCACTATGTTTAATCACTAAAATTACCCATTTTACAACCGACAATTCTAATGCTAGTTACCACCCTTTAAGATAATAAATAATAAGATCAAATAATATTAACTAATAATTGAGAGCCATGCTACCTCCCCTATCATCATTATATTAAATTAACCTCATTTAACTTCCTATACTAGCGAGCCACTTATCATAGTCCTGCGCAATCAACGTCCGCGCCCGATCAACCAGGGTACATCGTTAAATATAACCACCCTGCGCGATCCTCGTCCTGTTTTCCAAGGACCCTTTATAACGCCCTTCGCGTTAACTAAGCGTACAGGTTTCCGCTCGGCCCCGCTTGTTGACACTTAAGCACTAAATTCAATTTATACTTCTTATTTATAGAATTTACTTCTCACCCCACTGTCTGCCTAACCCCTTGAATCACACCCCTTTATCCCAGTTATTGCTACCTTCCACAAACCCTGTTATTTATTTTGGCAACGAAAACAGGACGTAACAATATAACAATATAACAATATAACAATGGTTTTTCCACGGGAAACATGATGTGATTGCGGAGTCTATCTAGATCGTCGCTGGTGTAGATTCCGCTCGTTGCTAATGATGTCGGGCTGACGTATTTCTACGTAGGTTTGGTTAATGGCTGAATTATGGGCGGCGGTAAAGTTTCTATTGGCCGCTGGTTTAAGCGGAACCAAGTGGCGTGTATTTTATATAAGGCTGGTAAAAGTTCGTTGCACTCGCGCACTGTTTCACTTTTCGTTATTATTCTAGATCTCGGGAGCATAAACATCGATTTATTATTATAGTTTATCGGTAGTTCGTTATAACAGTGTTCGATATGTTGTATTTTACATTCTACCGGCACGCACTTAATGAGATGTATCATTTCGCCTGCTGTAACTGCAGTATAACCCGGGACTTTCATTATTCGTGAAGCCATTTCGTTGGGTGCGATGCTTGCGAGCGAGAGCGCGTTTTGTAATATCTGTCGCTCGAGGGCACACTTTTGTTCCATTATGTCGCGGTACAGTCTGTTTAATTGAGTTTTTATATGCTCTTCCACGTACACAAATTTTGAATTAACGTAAGAAAATATGTCGAGATTGTCCACGGATATACGGGTTTTGGATTTAAACGATTTTCCCTTTTCGGTCTCTAAGATTAATAACTTTGGGTGTTCAGTATGATAGAGTTTATAACCGCACAGCATTTTTTCATTAGTCTTTGTCAGGGCAAACGTTGTGTCTTCGGTGGTGACCGCGTATATAATTGGTTCAGTGTGGTCGATTTCGTCTCTTGGTTTGAGACGTGCTGCAATACCTTCGTATAAAATATCGTATCTGTCGAAATGACAGCTGTCCGAAGGTATGGATGTCCAAAAGGTTTCTCCTTCTTTGGTATCCATACATCCTCCGGTTTCAAAATTGCAATGAGTTCCTGACGGAAGTATGAGTGTGTTTGTTGATCGTTTAACTGCTGCTTCGAAGGTAAGTAAGGTGATTTTAACGGTAGCTTGGACAGCTGCATTATCCCAAGTACCTTGACCATCGGTGTACTGTGTTCCTGTACAACGTCCGTCCATCGTTATGGATCCTGCCATGGTAATGCTGTGATGGGAAGTTTGATTTTTCCTGATTCTGTCTATGATCGCGGTTCCGATCTGGATTACACCGGTCTCATGTAGTCGTTTACATCCGTATTGACTCACTTCTTGTATGTAGGTTTTTCTTCCATTTTGCACGACTGAAATGTGAGAATGCATCCCACAGTAATATATAGTTTTAGCAAAGTCAATTCGGCACTGTATCACATCCGTTTTATCAAAGTCTGAGATTTGGAGTAACTGAATGTATGTTTCTTCTTTTATTGGTTCGATGTCGTCTACGTTGCATTCTCCTATGTCGTTTAGTGAAAGAGTCGTTATATTTAGTCCTGATCCTGCACAATCATATCCGATTAATCCATTAACCGGGATGATCGTAGTCACAAGGATGAAAGTGAGGGGATCCATCCTCTCCGTTCGAAGTTTTTGCTGCTTCTGGCTGGTTGCACGTTTGCACTATATTTATATGCGAAGTGTTTTTTTTCTTTACACAACTTGAGTTTATCTGTATGCACTATTTTACAGCGGTTTCTTATTAAATCTAATTTTACATTATTATTTCTTAATATTTCGATTATTACAAATGGTCCTATATATTGGTCGGATAACTTATCCTTTCGTGGTTCTTTTAACAAATATACCTTATCTCCTTCCTTAAAATTAACTACCTTTAATCTATTATCGTAATAGTATTTTGATCTTTTTTTAGCCGCTATTAAATTTGCTTTTGCATGTCTTTGTGTTTCTTTGAGTCTATAAAATAGACCCGTTATGTATTGCGTATAACTTTCATTATTAGTGTCTATAGGCGGCGGATCACTAGTCGGTAGGCGGGCTGTTCGTCCGAACACGAGTTCGTGAGATGAAAATTTTGTCCCTTCGTGTATGCAAGTATTATATGAGAATGAGGCTAGTTTAAGATATTTGTCCCAATTATTTTTTTTGGTAAATTGTTTTAAATATTCCCACAGTACGTGGTGCGATCGCTCTACTGAGCCGTTCGATTGCGGACGATAGGTGGAAGTCTTATATTGTGTAATTTTAAATTTTTTCGCAATTAAACGCATGAGGCTATTTATAAAGTGTGAGCCTTGGTCGGTTAATATTGCTTTAGGAGATCCGTATATGCAAATGAATTCATTGGTTAAAGCATCAGCAACTTGTATTGCGGAAGCTTCTTTTAAAGGTATTGCCAAACAGTATTTCGTTAGTAAATCTTGAATTGTTAGAACGTATCTGTTTCCAAAAATGGTAGTGGGTAAAGGGCCCATTATGTCCATTGAGATTTTATCAAAAACGTTATCCGAAGTATCGGTAATTATCATTGGTTATTTTGTCTTTATTTGAACTAACTTCTTTAACTGGCATTCATGACAATTATTTATAAAATGTTCGATGTCTCTCTTCATATACGGCCAATGATAATTATATTTTATTCGATTAAAAGTTTTGGTAATACCCTGTCCTCCTATAGCAGTATTATGGTTTTCCCTTATAATGTCTTGTCGTTTGTTTGCATCGGGAATTCTTATATTATTTTCACATATGAATATCTTAATTGTTACGCCGTTGAATACCTTTTGTATGTAAGTCTTAACATCTAACCATCCAATTTCCGCAACATTATTCTTACAAATAGAGATGGCGTCTAAGCCTAATTCTATAACTACATCTAATAAGGAATGGATAGCTTCTTGGAACATTTTAATGTCAGTGGATTGATTTTGATTTTTTCCTTAATATTAAGTACAATTAATCGATATTTATTTATATTTATTAGCTTTGCCAGGCCTACGGTGTGGCTTGATAAGTCTATTTCGTTATTATTTTTTAAAGTCATTTGAGCGCCTTCGTCGCAAGGTTCGCCCGTTGAAGTCGCGAAAACAACCAAAGTAGTTATACTATGCCGGTTCTAATCCAGGGGCAATGAGGGGGGTGCGGGTGAAGGAGGGGAAGAGGGGGTATCAGGATAACAGTGGAGGGGATAATGACGTCATCGTTTTGGAGAAGAGGGGGTAATTTAGGAGTGGTGGGGGGTATCAGATAACAATAATTCCTGGAAGTGGGGATTTCCGGGATTCCCGGAAGAGATAAGATAAGGATTGTTAATACAAACATGAGTCGTCGAGAGATAAGGATTCCTGGAAGAGATAGGGATTCCGAGAACTGTTTAGATCCTTTGGTTTTTCTCTGCGCATCAAAGTGGAGCGCCATGTTGTCGGAATGTATCATTGTTAAAGGATTCCGAGAACTGTTTAGATCCTTTGGTTTTTTTCTGCGCATCAAAGTGGAGCGCCATGTTGTCGGAATGCATCATCGCAATGTTTATACAATAAGGGTATATAAGGCCCGCGAAGAACGAGTGGTATAACAGTCGAAATGTTCATCGCACTCTCGGATGAACGCGATATTCTCAATTTAACAGCAGCGGAGTTAGAATTTGTGCCAAAGGTGATTTTATTAAGCAAGTTTGCTCGGTTCGTGGACCAAGTGTGGGAGAAACTTCCGGAACACGTAAGAGTGGACCCGGAAGTGCAGGGTTACCGTCGGTACAAGGAACATCACAATCAACCGTGGCAGCGCGACCACATCGACGGACCCGCGCCATACGTTAAAGATTGCACTCTGTGCGAATTAGGTGAGAAAAATATCTCTAAAAATAGAAAGTGAGAAATATTCAGCGAGTAGATATTTAGGTGTATTGTAAAATGTTTCAGGATCACCACGATGCGACAGCCGAGGAGTCTCGTCGAACTCGCCAGGAAGGTCATAAACCAGAACGTCGCAAGCAGATACCTATTGAGCGATCTACCGCTTCCGGAGAAGTATATTCGACAATTGTATCAGACGTATGGTCGGGATCGCTTCGAAAAATTGTTATCAAAATGTAAGACGCAAGTCGAGTACTTAGGCATCGTACAATTGATGTGTTGTGTCGATACCGACGAAATGTCGGAAATGTTTGTATGCGAATATTGAAATAAAAAATTTTTATATTTAAAATGTAAGTTTTTTTTATCATCATCCCGCTGTAGTAATATAAGAGAACGCGTCGACTGTACCGACTTATCGCGAGTCAAGTTACACCGTTGTAGCGGACCATTTAAATAAACAATTTCAAAAGTTTTATTAAAATAAACTTATTCATATTAAATAAAAATAATTTGAATTATTATTCCTGTGCCTCATCTTATTCACTGACCTATTCTACCGCGAGATAAGCGACAGATCATATGTCACGAGGATCGTATAACTGAGGTGGAATAAAAGTCGTACGATATAAATCTATTTTTTTTTTTTTTTTCTTTATTACGACGAATGATATAGAGTA